GAAATATACCATTTTTAGAGATAGCAAGTTCCCCTCAGTGTCATCTTGAGGGATTTGGAGGACAGTGGAACAGGAGGGCTTGGAGGAAGGAAGGCTGCTTTCCTGGCCGCACCCAACTCCCCTCCTAGGTGACCCTTTGAGCAGGCTTACTTTACCTCATCCTCAAGGAGGTCTTTGGGTTTGGGGGGGATCTGAGGCTTCTGCAGACAGGTGGGAGCTGGCAAAGTAGAAGTCATCCTTGTTTTCGCTGAGGGCCAGCAAGGCTTACTGGGGAGTGTCTTGCTGAAGGGTGGAGAGTGCCGCTGGCTGGATCGATTATCTTAAACATACATAAAACAACACAGAAGGGGCTCTAGGTCATTCACTGTGTAGATACCATGGGGATCTAGCAAATACACAACCAAAGGCATGTATGTAGCTATAAAGGCTCGGCGTGGTCTCCTTAAAGGGGCCAAGTGAACAGGTAGACAGACCTACCTGTTCTCAGGACCACACTGGGGCAGGGGAAGGGGGAGTGATAAAAGCCTACAGGCACCAAGAACTGAGAGTCCAACACCCTGCTAAAACCAGGGAGTGGGGTTGTATTTACACACCAGAGCCACCTTGGGGGCTTTAAAAGTGGTCCCACTCTGGAGCTAAGTCTGCACTTCTGAATGAAGTCTGCTGTGGTGGGTTTTTTAAGTTCCTCAGGATCCCCAGGTTATTCCAAAGAGTTCCTTTCCTCACTCCTGGAGAAGCCAGGTGACCCTGCTTTGTCCAGGACTGTCCTTTTCAGCGGACATCTGAGAGCCCAGTTTCTGAAGCCAGATGAATCTGGGTTCCTTCTGCTCTGCCATAGACTAATTGCACATGTTTGGATCAGTTACAATTTCTCTGGCACTCCCTTGTTCACTTTAAAGCAACAGATCATGCTGTCCACCTTGGAGTTATTGTAAGAATAAAAAAAAAAAAAAAAAAAAAAAAAAAAAAAAAAAAAAAAAAACTGCAGAGAAAGCAGCAGGTACTGTGTGGATGCCTAATGCATGGATCTGATACCGGCATGATACCGGCATGCTTCGTGAGAACTTCAGATACCCAGCCTGCCCAGCAAAGCTGTGAGCTGACTTCTCATTGGCCTGACTTCTTTTCAGAAGTTCTTGGCATAGGGATGCCCTGGCATTCTCCATCCTAGTCAACACCCTGGCTCCCAGCAGGCTTCTGGGTTTCCTGCTTCCTCCTGTAACATCACCTTGCCTGTCATAGCCCTGACACTATGGCTTTTCTTGGTGCCTATTCTTGCTTAACTTGCTTCTTCTTTGTCTGAGGTATGTGGCTGATGTCACATTTACTGTGCTCAAAATTAGGGCATCTGCATTTCTGTGTCTTATCATTGCCATTGCTAGTTTTATTTGTACTCTTGGGTTCCCCACTCTTTTTTTTTTTTTTTTTTTTCCCCAGACAGGTTTTCTCTGTATAACAGTCCTGGCAGCCTGGAACTCGCTTTGCAGATCAGACTGGCCTCAAACTCACTGAGATCTACTTGCCTCTTCCTCCCAAGCGCTGGGATCAAAGATGTGTGCCAACACTGCCCAGCTGCTCTTGGGGTTTATATAGAATTCTTAATGTAATGTTTAAACCCACAAGAAGCAGCAAAACACAGAAAGCAGGCTTTGAAGAATTGAATTGTGGTTTCTGGTTTGCAGTGTGCACTTAATACAGCCTCTTCCCTCTTAGGATCATTGCCATAAGTGAACAAAGTCACAGACCACAGATTAACCGTGGAACACAGAACCAGCAGCACCCGGCGCCCTATGAGGAGGCTGCTGAGAACAGCAAGGCTGACGTTGCTGCATACATGCAATCACTGCCCTGGTTGTGGACACACTCGATTCCCCACCTTCAGAAACCTGATGTGATGAGAACAACGACTTTCCTGTTCCTCCTGATGCCTTACACAAGCTACCTAAGAACTCTGCCACTGACCTATGCCCCCAGTTAGCTTTTGCTTTCTTGTTTGTTTATGTTTTGCTTTTGTTTGTTTTTAAACTATTTTTAATTTTGAGATAGGGTCTTGCTAAGTTGCCTAACCTGGGAATTTGGGATCCTTCCTCATCCCCATCCTCAAGATAGGATTATAGGATTATAGATCTGTGCTACTCCCCCAGGCTTCTTGGTGAACCACAAGAGGCATGCCTCAAAGCCAGACTTGTGCTGTATCCATTTGACCTAAGAGGTGGAATCCAGGCCCAGGGTTCATTGACACCCCCATTCCCACTCAGACAGTCTAAATGGCCTGTGTGTAAAGCTGTCTGGCACCAGAGCAGAGGGGGCTTTAGTGAACACTCAGGTCCTTGAAACACACTGTTGTTTTGTTTGCTTTTCAGAAGTTTCAGAGCCTTGGATGAAGAAGCTCCCAGGAGAATGAGGACTAATGTCCAGGTTGGTTTTTCTTGGAGCTATAAGAGCACAGGGAGGTCAGCCCTTAGGGTACACTTCTTCATCAGTACAGGGAACCTGTTCAGTGATCCCAATCTGGGAAAAAGACGCTCCCCATAAATGAGTAAGACAAAGCATTGTAAATGCCCGCACATCTGCCAGCTCCTGGGCTGCCACTTGAAAGTGAGAGTAGAGAAGGGCAGGGGAAGTCAGGCAGCACTAGGTTTGCCTGTTTCCCCTCTCTGAAGTCCCAGCGTCCACAGCGACCTCACCTACATACTCGCCCCTGGTGAAGGGCAGGGCTGGGTGGACCACCCTTGTCTGCTGCTCAGCGGGCGGTGGCTCATAGGAATCGTCGCCAGTCTCCTCCGCAGGCATCACGTACATCTCGGAGTCGGAATGTTCATCTGGATTTTCATAGTCACTGTCCTGCAAATATAAGCACCACGCTTGGCATCCCTGCAGGTGCCGCCGTATGGACAGGTCCTACCTTAGGAGGCAGGAGCGGTTCCTGCTGCGGAGGACAGGGAACGGAGGCTGGGGGCAGTCCTTTTCGCATCCGCCTGCTCCACACAGCTCCCACCACAGCCACACAGGAGTCACACAGGACAGACGCGGGACACTCGTCTCATTTCACTTGTGATGTTCTAACTACGTCCCTCTGTCTGGTCTAAAGGCTTTAGGAACAAGCCTACATTTCATACTACCTGCAGTGGAGACCCACTCAAGTAAAAATAACGGCCCAATCATTGTTAATTGTAGCTGTTTGACTTTGGGAGTAGGCCCGACCCTACTTGCCAGGCTTTTTTTTCTTTGTTTTCTTCGCTCTGTGCCCACTTTTTAAAAATTACTTCTTATAATTACACCATTTCCCTTCCCTTTTCCTTCCTCCAAACCCTCCCATATGCCTGTCCTTGCTTTCTTTCGAATTCTTAATTCAACCAGCAGAACTCTTTTCTTTTTCCCCTTTGAGCACATGTGATCCTGCGATGCCGCCAGCAGGAGGCGCAGCCGGGACACTGGTTCCACTAGACAGGGTTCTGCAGGAAGTTTATGCCCAAATGCCCCGCAATGAAGTCATGCTTCCCCTTATTTTTCTTTTCTTTTTCTGCGGTTAAAGGAGGAGGAACTGCTGTCTTCAAAGACCACATCCACTCCAGGTGGTGAACACAAACTTGATTCTGAGCACTGACCTGAATATCTGCTTCGTGGGTCCTCGTCCTACTGAGGGACAGTGGGAATGCCAGTTCTGTCCTAGTAACCTCTGTTTCCTTTTATGGAAGGTGGGGGTGTGGTTTGTGTAGGATCCCTCACAGATCCAAACTCAGAGCATGCTAACACTGTGGAAGGACACAAGTGTGCTGAAGAAAACTCGCCTAGACTCAGCTCCCGACTGGTGCCGACTGCAGAGCCATTTGGAGAAGATTTATTCTTTTTTCACTCTGCGACCTAGCGAGCTGGGCTGATGGGTTTTTGGTAATAGCAGGTACTTTGGTAGCCAGTAGCCTGGTTCTGAGTTCCGAAGGCCCATGTTTGAGTTTGGGAACTCCAAGTTAATCAAACATTCCGTTCTGGTTTTAGACGCACATGTGCCTTAGCATTAGGCCCTTTTTTTAAAAAAATAGGATTTTGCTAAATAGCAAAATGGCCTCAAACCCTCCAAGTAACCAAGATTAGCTTTGAACCTTCAGTCTTCCTGCCTCAGCCTGCGGAGTGCTGTGATTATAGGTGTGTACCAGTTCTGTAGTAATTAATTCCTGTTTTGATGGCTCTCATGCCGAGGTCCAGGAATAGTGCGAAGCTTGGGTCAGAACTAACCATCACAAGAGAACTATTTAAGTACTTCTGGTTTTGTGTGTCTGTGAGCTCTGAGAATGGGGTTAGAGTACCTACTTCCCAGGGCTGTATAAAGTGCTCGGCCTGGCATGTGGTCAGCACTGGT